CTTCCTGCTTTCCCTTTCGCCTCCCTGCATTGTGCCTACATATGCAAATTAACCGCCATCTTTGTTGTCAGTTAACTGCCATCTGAGTTGGCAGTTAATTTGCATATAGCCTTGATTAGCCAATGAAAAGGGTAGCGTCGTACGCCAATTACCATTTTTCTCTTTTATTAGTATAGATACATAAATGGTATCATATTAAATGAGTTTCTGTCCTTTTTCCCTCTCAGCACTGTTCTCATGGTCTGGTTGTGATACATGCAGGTTCGTTCATCTTTACACTATAAAGCATAACCACCATGACTGATCTGTTCATTCCTCTATGCTGAATATTTAGTTGCTCCCAATTTTAAATATCACCTTTATAATCAAGGGAAAAACAAAAGGCTAAGGTGTTTTTCCCTTTGTAGGTAAACAAACTATGGGCTTCCCACTTCTCACTTATCAAGACCGATCCGATAATAAGCTGTATCGTCTTCAGACCCCACAAAGCCCTTTGGTGAGGCCGTGCATGTATGATCACTATGACATGGACAACTATCCAATTGGGACCAATGCCATCGTTGCTGTTATTTCTTATACTGGCTACGATATGGAAGATGCCATGGTAAGTTTTACCAAGCGTAGTTCCATCCTTTAAATTTTAAAATTTAACTTTACTGTGAGGTCACTGTGTCCTCGAGTGCCTAGTATTTGGTGAGTGAGTGTCCTGTTAAATGGTCAGTCCCTACTCTGAATGAAAAGTGGTAGCCTTGAGGGTTATGAACTAAATATTCATATATGCATATTTCATGCATATTGCCTGTGTAGTTGAATTAATGTCGAGTGAATATAAAGTAGTGTTGGATATTTTTACCTTTTGTGTTAGTGCATGATTGGGTTTTGGACTAATTAATTATAAATTAAGTGCTTGGGTTTTAGTAGTGTAGGTGACTGAGAAAATGTGGATAGATTTTAAATCGAATGCAAGGTAACCTAAATCAAGTATAATTATGACCAGTTTTATTTTGAAAAATCCTCATTTTTCTGCACTCCCTTGATTCTTTGACTTCATAGATTGTGAATAAGGCTTCTTGGGAACGAGGTTTTGCCCATGGAAGTGTCTACAAATCTGAGTTCATAGATCTCTCTGAAAAAATTAAACAAGGAGATGATAGTCTGGTGTTTGGAGTCAAACCTGGTGACCCGCGGACTGTGCAGAAGTTAGATGAGGATGGATTGCCATTTATTGGAGCACAGCTGCAGTACGGAGATCCCTATTACAGCTATGTAAACCTCAACACTGGCGAGAGCTCTGTGATGTTCTACAAGTAAGTTGCAGTGCCAGATGCTCATTTTAAAGGCTGTTCTTAGTGAATTGCTGGGTGCTGTTGAAAGTAATCTTTTAACAGGAAATTTTTGGAGAAAATAGAAGTGATACTCAATCGTAACTGGATTGGCATTTACAAAATGAGACGAAGTTTGCTATCTTACTCCCTTTGCTTTTCTACTTGTCAGTCTCTTATAATTGGTGAGAGTTCTCCTGGCTTATTTTAAAAGTATATTATTGAGACTTGATCATCTCTCTAATGCATGTTAGGTATACTTCCCAGCTAAAATTTTATTATGCCTCCTGTTAAAAATAAATTTTTAGCTTATTTTACATCTGTAAGAGTGGATTCAACAGTAGGTCTTCATAATCTATAATAAAAGCGTAATATGCAAATCGACCGAATAGCCAAATAGTGGAACGACGGTCCGGACACCCTTCTGGGCGAAGCCGCGGCTGCAAGGGCTGAGGCAGCTGCCGGGGCTGCGAGGGCCTACTCTTGCACAAATTTTGTGCATCGGGCCTCTAGTCTATAGTATATATAAAAGCCTAAGCGACAAACAACCAGTTGCTATGATGTGCACTGACTTTCAGCACAGGAGCTGCCCCTTGGTGGTCAGTGCACTCCCACAGCGAGAGCACCGCTCAGCTGACCAACCCTTCCCGGTGGTCCACCAGCCCAGTAGCAGCCACTCACTCCCTCAGTAGTCCTGCAGGTCCGATCTCTGGAGAATGGGCCAGGCATCAATGGACTGGCGCCGCTGGCAGGATCCCAACAGTGCTGCAGGCCTCCTGGAAGTCAGCCTCAGGCACCGCGGCTGCTTCCCCTCCCTAGACACTCCGGAAGGAAGAAATGATATAAAAGTGGCCACTAGGTGACTCCCAACAACTGGCATGAACGTCAGTGGAACAGATCCAGATCCTGGGCCGGCAAGGGCTTCCCACCCCCTACCCAGAGGGCCAATCACATCTCAGCCCCCCGCCCACCCCCCCTCGGGATAGGCGCCATATGCAGGGCTCACAGCTGGCAAGCACCGCTGCTGCAGTGCGAGCCTCTCCCGATTGGGACTGACTGCAGCAGGCACAGGAGGGTCAGAATGAGTGGGAGCAGCAAGCAGCATTGGACTGCTGGTTTGGGCCCAATCCCTGCAGGCCACCCTGAGGGACCCCACCTGTGCATGAATTCGTGTACCAGTCCTTTAGTACTTTCATAATAGTTGTTCAGAGGAACAGAGTTCTGTAGTTAATATAACCAGCAGCCCAATTCATAGATACTTCCAGGGAAAAGAAAGATAAGACTGTTTTTTGAATCCTTTATAAAGCACTAGTTATATATAAAACTTACATGCCTCTATAAGCTTAAAGAAATAGTTTGACCTTTTATATGGTTTAATTTTTCCTAGGAGTAAAGAAAATTGTATTGTGGACAACATCAAAGTGTGTAGTAATGACAGTGGAAGTGGAAAATTTAAATGTGTTTGCATCACGATGAGAATCCCTCGGAACCCAACCATTGGAGACAAGTTTGCCAGCCGGCATGGGCAGAAGGGCATCCTGAGCAGACTGTGGCCAACCGAGGACATGCCCTTTACCGAAAGTGGGATGGTCCCAGACATTCTGTTCAACCCTCACGGGTTCCCATCCCGAATGACCATTGGTATGTTAATCGAGAGCATGGCGGGCAAGTCTGCAGCTCTGCATGGTCTCTGCCATGATGCCACACCCTTCACCTTTTCAGAGGAGAATTCGGCCTTGGAGTACTTTGGTGAGATGTTGAAGGCTGCTGGCTACAACTTCTATGGCACTGAGAGGCTGTACAGTGGCATCAGTGGGGTAGAACTGGAAGCAGATATTTTCATTGGCGTGGTTTATTACCAGCGGTTACGCCACATGGTCTCAGACAAATTCCAGGTCAGAACCACCGGAGCCAGAGACAGAGTCACTAACCAGCCCATCGGGGGGAGAAACGTCCAGGGTGGGATCCGTTTTGGGGAAATGGAGAGGGATGCTCTGTTAGCTCATGGAACTTCTTTTCTCCTTCACGACCGCCTCTTTAACTGTTCTGACCGGTCGGTAGCCCACGTGTGTGTGAAGTGTGGCAGTCTGCTCTCTCCGCTGTTGGAGAAGCCACCCCCTTCGTGGTCAGCCATGCGCAACAGAAAATACAACTGTACTGTGTGCAATCGCAGTGACACTATCGACACTGTTTCTGTGCCTTACGTTTTTCGGTATTTTGTAGCTGAACTGGCAGCTATGAACATCAAAGTAAAACTGGATGTCATTTAATTGGTGTGGCCTTTTGGGTTAGGTGATCTGTCAGATTAAAACAAAATGTAACTTCAGTGAAGATGTTACCCTGAATTTTTTTTCAAGGTTGTTACAGCCCTCAACCAAGACCTGGCAAATAAGAATTCAAGGTTCTGAGTCTTTCTGGTATAATAGCCATTGAAATTGATTTTCACTGTATTTGTTCGAGAAAACGTTACATTGATGAATAAAATATACAGGGAAGTTCCCAACCCCAGGGTCTTAGTATGCTGCTCTCAGTAGATGGTGACTATCACTGATTGTCCCTCTAGAACAGGGGTGGGGAACCTTTTTTCTGCCAAGGGCCATTTGGATATTTGTAACATCATTTGCAGGCCATACAAAATTATCAACTTAAAAATTAGCCTGCTATATTTGGTAAAACAATTAACTCACCCCTATGCCTTGGGAGGGCCAGACCAAATGATTTTGAGGACCGTATACAGCCTGAGGGCCCAATGTTCCCCACCCCTTCTCTAGGTCACCATCCGGTGGTCCGTGAGGTCCAAGAGGTCCGAAAGGTTGGCAACTGCTGCTCTAGAGCATTGTCCATCTAGAGTCCCAACATGATGCAGGCCATGGGTGTGATTTTGTATTTTCTAATGTCCATGTTAAAGTGAAAAATGGTAGAAATATTTTTTAACAACTTCATTGAAATATACTAAACCCAGCCCTAACTAGTTTGGCTCAGTGGATAGAGTGTCAGCCTGCGGATTCAAGGGTCCCAGGTTCGATTCTGGTCAAAGGCATGTACCTTGGTTGTGGGCACGTACCTTGGTTGTGGGCACATCCCCAGTATATGCAGGAGGCAGCTGATCGATGTTTCTCATCGATGTTTCTAACTCTCTATCTCTCTCCCTTCCTCTCTGTAAAAAATCAATAAAATATATTTCTTAAAAAAATACTAAACCCAGATTGTAGGTTTTAACCTCAGTTGGGGTGTGTGCAGGAAGCAACTGGTATCTCTCTCTCTCTCTCTCTCAAATCAAAAACATACTTAAAAAAACAAACACTGCACATCTTTATTGTATATAGTTCACCATCCGGGGTAATAAACATCACCTCTGAAAGCTTCCTGCGCCCCTTTGGGTTGTTTGGTTTTTTATTTATTACTAGAGGCCCAGTGCATGACACTCGTGCATTGGTGGGGTCAGGAGTGGAGGCAATGGTTACTGGGCCAGGTGTCCCGCCACCTCACGATTCCCCGCCTCCACTCCTTCCCTTGCCACCACACCGCCACCACAGTGGGCAGGCAGGCGGCCCCTGGGGAAGGGAGAGGATGGGAGTGAGATCCTCCTTCCCTCTCCACTGCGCTGGCACTATGGCAGTTGGGCGAGTGGCCCCCAAGGAAGGTAGAGGACAGGAGTGAGACAAACCCTTGTATTGAGGGCTGGTATCCAATAGATCGGAGTGAGGGAGCTGCTCTGGCAGTACGAAACCCCAACTCAGAAGCAGGTCATCTGTAAATGGTTTAGCACCAGGGGTTGATTGGGGCTGGCCGCAGGGACCATGGCAGTTGGCTGGACATAGGAGGTTGGCTGTGGGAGCACATGGACCACCAGGGGGCAGATGCTCAATACAGAAGCTGCCCGCGGGCCCCATGCCAGCCAAGGCAGGTGCCAGCAGGGTCCCATCGCCCCACTGGTCGCCCTGCAGGGGGGGGCAACAGGCGGCGGTGGGGCCCGCAACCAGGTGGCACTAGGCCGGCCAAGGCAGGTGCCAGTGGGGGGTCCCCCCGATCGCCCTGCCAGTCGCCCCACAGATCAGCCCTAATTGCCAGCCAGGCCTAGGGATCCTACCCATGCACGAATTTGGTGCATCAGGCCTCTAGTATTATACAAATAAAAGCATAATTTGTGACCTTCTGAGATTGGCTTTTTCCACTCAATTGCCTTGAGATGCATTGAAGCTGTTGCATATATCAGTTGTTCATTCCTTTTTGCTGCTGTATGGCTATGCCAGTGTGTTCAACCAGTTACCTGTAGGAGCACATTTTGGTTGTTGCCAGTTTTTGGTGTTTACAAATAAAGCTGCTCTGAAAACTCATGTACAGTTTTTGTGTGAACATACATTTATCTGGGACAAATGTCTAAGAATTAAATTGCCATGTGGTGGTGGTGTGTTGTCTTAGAAGAAACTGCCAAACTGTTCCAAAGTGGCTGGACCATTTTACATTCCCATCAGCAATAAATGAGATCGGTTGTTTCTTCCACATCCTGACAGGCACTTGATAGTGCTCCTGTTTTATTTAGGCTGTTCTGATGGGTGTGTAAATGATATCTCACTGGGGTTTTAATTCACATATCTCTAATGGTTGACAATGTTTAACATCATCTTTTCATAGGCTTTTCTGCATTTATTACTCAGTGAAATGTGTCTTTTGCTCATTTTTTTAAAAAATATATTGTTGATTTCAGATAGGGAGAGGGAGAAATAGACATCAATGATGAGAGGGAATCATTGATCAGCTGCCTCCTAGAGGCCCCCTACTGAGGATAGAGCCCACAACCTAGGCACGTGCCCTCCCCCTACTGGGGATAGAGCCCACAACCTAGGCACGTGCCGAGACCTAGAATGAATTGTGACCTTCTGGCTCATAGGTCGGTGCTCAACCACTGAGCCACACCGGCTGGGCATGTGCCATTTTTGTCACACATTTTATTTATACATATGTGATGAACTCCATAATACATTATTACCTTTGCTCTAAGCAATTATCTTTTCAAGAGATTTATAAAATAAACTAGAGGCCCGGTGCACAAAAATTTGTGCACTGGGGGGTGGAGGGCAGTACCTCAGCCTAGCCTGTGCCCTCTCACAATCTGGGACCCCTTGGGGGATGTCCACCTGCTGGCTTAGGCCCACTCCCCGGGGATTGGGCCTAAGCTGGCTGTCAGACATCCCTCTGGCAGCACGGGAACCCTTGTGGGATGTCCACTTGCCAGTGGGGAGCAGGCCTAGCTGCAGTCGGACATCCTTAATGCTGCTGAGGAGGCGGGAGAGGCTCCCACCACTACCACTGTATTGGCAGCTGGCAGCCTGGCTTGTGGCTGAGCAGAGCTCCCCCTATGGAAGCGCACTGACCACCAGGGGGCAGCTCCTGCATTAAGCATCTGCCCCCTGGTGGTGTGTGTCCCAGTGACCAGTCATTCCCAGTCCCTGTTGTTAGGGTCAATTTGCATATTACCCTCTTATTATATAGGATTACTTAATAACACCACATTTACCATGTCTGATGACATTTATATACTGGACTTCTACCTCATGGCGTTTTTCTTCAACCTCCAGGGCTTATTTCAGTGTTTCCTGTAGCATTCTTAAGCTTTCTTAGGTGGGATAGGGGAAGCCATGAGGCCTAATTGTCAGCGGTGCTTCTGACCAACTAGCTATAGATTGAACACCTCCTTGGGTTCGACTAATTTGCTAGAATGGCTCACAAAACTCAGAAACATTTTACACACCAGATCACCAGTTTACTATGAAAGGATATAACTTAGGGCCCTGCTGCGTAGCTCAGTTGGTTAGAGCATTGTCCTGATATGCCAGGGTTTCAGATTCTATCCCCAGTCAGGGCACATAAAAGAATCAACCAATGAATGTATAAACAAGTGGAACAACAAATTGATGTTTCTCTCTCCCCCTTTCTCTCTCTAAAATAAGTAATTTAAAAAAAAATACTATTTAAAAATAGAAGCAACCAATGAATGCATAAATGAGTAGAATGACAAATTAATGTTTCTCTAGAATCAATTAAAAAACAAAAGGCCCTGAGCAGTGCGCTCAGTGGTTTTACTGTCGGCCCAAGTACCAGCCGGGGTGCATGGGGGAGGCAACCAGTAGATGTTCTCTCTGGCATCAACATCTCTCTCTCTCTACTCCGTTCCCTCCTTCCACTCTGAAAAGCTATGGAAAAAAATATCCTCAGGAGAGGATTAACAACAAAAAACGAACAAAAAAATGTAAAAGTATATGACTGGGGAAGAAATAAAAAGGGCAAGGTCTGGGGACAGCTTGGAGCTGCCACACTCTGAGTGTGCCACTCACCAACCCAGAAGCTCCACAAACCATTTGGGGTTTCTATGGCGACCTCATTCCTTAGGTGGGGCTGATTACACCACTTCCAGCCCCGCTCCCCTCCCTGATGCCAGGGGGGTGAGACTGAAAGTTCCAACCTCTAGTCACAAGGCTGGTTCTGGAGACCAGCCCCCCCCGCCCTGAGGTCCAAAAGTCACCTCAATAACAACAAAAGACCAACCTCTGTTGCTCTCATCGCATGTGAAATCCCACGGGCTTTAGGAGACTTGTGCCAGGACCAGCGGATGAAGATCAAATATGTATTATAAATCACATCACACCTCTGGTCATTCGCCCAACACTTCCCCTTCCCTTCCCAGAATGATCACTCTCCTGGTGAATGACCATCACTAATCACTAGTGTGTCTTTCTTGTTTGTTTTGGTAGTTGTCTGCCCCTCCGCTAGCATGTTCAGCTCCAGGGTGATACTTCTTTCTGTGCCAAGACAGCAAATTCAGTCCACCACTCCTCTGCCCGCCCCAGACTGTGTGGGGACCCACCAGTGAGGAGGAGACAATACAGGGCTCAGATCTGCTTCACCCCAAACCCGGGGACACCGACCTCTCCCTTACACTCGATCTCCAGGGAGCCACAGCCCAAAGGCGGCCAGAAGTCTGGGGGCTCAAGGCAGCTCCCCTGCTGGGTCTTCAGGGAGCCTCCTTACAAGCCCAGCCACATGCCTCCCGTGGGGCCCTTGAGCTGGGCTTCGGGATGATTCGGGGACAGGACGTGGGGCTGGCTGCGGACATCTGAGGACTCGGTGCACATCTGAGGTCACTGAGGACAGTCCTGTTCCTCCCTGTCCGCCCACGAAAGGCCACCTGGAAGGCTGTACGGGAAGGAGAACGCAGGGGGCGAAAGGTTTTCCTTCGGCGCGCGTGGCTCCAGACCCGGGTCACGTGGCCGGCTCAGGTGTCAGCTCGGGAACGGCTCCTGCACTGGTGCAGACTAAGCCCGTCGGGG